ATACTTATTTTAAGGTTTTGATTAGACTTTGAATTAATTTGATGAAAACTTTGAATAAATTCAATTTAATCCAAAAACATGTTGCCTTTATTTGTTATATCAAAATATTAGTTCTACATATTTTAATTTTTCCTATGTATTTTCTATTGAAAATCTGTTTTCGCCCCTTAAAATTTTATTCACCCTCTTAAAATTTTATTTGCCCCCTATAAATTTTATAAGTTTAAATTCGTCCCTCTAATATAATATCCTGCTTCCGTCCCTGTATACACCTCTAATATAATATCTTACTTTCGTTCCTTGTATACACCTCTAATATAATATCTTGCTTCCGTCCTTGTATACACTAACATTCCCCCGACCACGCAAACATTCAAACTTTATTTAACCTTCAACGGGGAGCTGGTATAACAATATAAAAAATATTATAACTAAATTTTCTTTTGAGATTAGTTTAATGATGAATTTAATAAAGTCAATTGATGCAACTTCCAAGAAACATCTCTTATAATATTAAAACAAAACACCTCCATAAACGTGTAAATATTTGTCATAAATTATTATAATTATTATTATTATTTTTATTATTTTTATTTTTATTATTATTATTATTATTATTTAAAGACTAAGACGAACGTTCATGTCTCTTAAATAGTTAAACCAAACGAACTTATCCATCCGAGTTAGATAAAGCCAAGAGCAGTCTGCGAGGATATAAAAAAAATATAGACACGTTACAACTTTTTAAGGTTATAATAAATTAAAAAATTATATTAGTAATTCTTTATAAATGTCGTAAATTTATTCGTTAGTTAATAAATGATCAAAGTTTTAAAATAAAAATTTTTTTATCTCAAAATAAAATGTTAGAGATTCAATGAGAGAAAATGAATAACAAAATGAATATTTAGTTGAGTGTTATGAGTTTTTGTATCTTAAAATAAAAATATCGAGGGAAAAATTAAAAATAAAAATAACTATTTAATAAAATGTTGATATTTTCTGATATTATGCCTGGATTTTACCTTCAATTCTATTATAAACATTTATGCTCTTTCTGTTTTTAGTTATAAATATTTTTAATTTTACATATTATTTATATTAATGTAATATGATTTTTGAATGAATATTTTTGTTTAGCTTACTTTCTTGGACTTGAATTTTGGGACAACAATTTTTTTTATTTAGTTTCATTATTTAAATAATTCTTAAATATATATATAAAAATATGAGTATATTTATGTTTATTTTTAATAAGTAACTACTTTATTTGTGTACACATTATTATCTTTTTTTAATTAATTAATGGTATCTGATCTATTGATCAACTAATCCAGATCGAGTACTGCAGAGGCGAGGGCGACCTCCCAACCCAGTTTGCTCTATTCGCAAACGCCATGATTCAAACCCCTGACCTTGTTTAAAGGATCTAGTGCCTCATCCCACTAGATCAACTGGTTGTTGCTACGTTATTATCTTTTTACTCACTACTTTATTTATAACATTATAACTAACGTGTTAATATTTTTTATACATAAAAAATAAAAAAAATGATAATTGTAAGTAATAAAAGTATTTCAGTCTCTATACATATATTCACATACAAATATATATTTTAATTATGTATTGACATTTTAGTTTATAAATAAAAAATAGTCTTAAATTAAAATTTGGAATTTAAAAATATTTTAGTTGAGATTTGAACATATAATTTTTTATGGCAATACTTTTTAATCACATAAATTTAATAAAATTTCATAAATATGTGGTAATATTTTATAATAAAAATATATATTTATTAAAATATTTTGAAACCAAGTAGACTTAATTAGGTAATATAAATACGTGATTACATTTAATAATAAAATAAATTGTAATAAAAGAATTCAAATTGAGTTCGATGAAAAGAATTATTTATTCCAAAGTAATATTAAACTAAAAATACCACATTATTTAATAAATCAAGCACGTTCTGTTAAAATTAGTTTAAGAAAATTAATAAGAAAAAGGAATTGCTGTTTATTTCTGCCTAATGATCAACGCCAATAGTGGTAAGCTATTATTGTTATTATTTTATTTAGGAATTGACAGTGGCATGCTATCATAAAGTTGTTCAGTTTCATTTTCCTAGATATATCCATATTGACTTAGATGTCTTTGCCCTTTTTATTTTGGCTTAATATCAAAATAGGTACCTAAATTATGGTTTTTTGGGCCCAATAGGAAACATCAAAAATTATTTTGGGATATACGGTATTTTCTACAGTACAGGTTGAACTCGTCACTTCGATGTGATGAATTTTATGGAATATATTTTTTTCGGATCTAATATTTTAATATTTCTCCTGGAACTCTTCACCTTGAGGTGACGAGTCCCATTAAAAATTATTATTTTTTCAAGATTATTATATGAATTTTTATTTTTTTTTAAAAAAAACGAATCTCATCGCCTCGTGGTGACGAGTTCCTTAGGCTTAAAAATTTATAGCTGTTTTAGATTTGAAAAAGAGCTGTTGAAAAATAGCAAGTTGAAGAGAAACTAAATGATTAAGGAATTAATGGTGAAATAATAAAATGGATTTCTAAGTGAATTATGTTTTTATATGAAAATATTCTTTGTTAAAAAGGTGCTAAGCGAAATGTTCTACGTGAAAGTGGCTTATGAGAATGTACTCTATGTGAATAAGACACATTTTGAATAATGAAATGAGAAATAAATATATGGTTAAATCCCAAGGTATATGTATGAGAATTAGAGATATAGTTGGCATGTTAAGAGTCGAGGGTTCAACGCGGTCCTTCGGGACAAATCTATGTGGTCCTTCGGGACAAATCTATGTGGTCCTTCGGGACAAATTCTACTCGGTCATTCAAGACAAATTCTACGTGGCACTTCGGTGCAAATTATATGAGCATTGATGACTGCATTAGTGCACAACCTCAATGTACTCAGATACTTAGAGTTCTCAGTAATATGCATTGGGCTAAAATAACAAAGTAATATAAATTGAATATTGAGTAACAATACACGTTAAGTTTATGAATTGTATCTAGATTTTAGCATGAAACGTTTTATATGGATTTAATAAGCAATTATGTTTAATTGTTTTGTTATACTCATTATTGCCTCACTAAGTCGACGACTTAGAATGTGATTGTTTCACAAGTAGTTTCAAAGAGATCAGAAGAGCAAAGCTAGGAAAGGGCAACATACACTGAAGAAGATCAAATCAGAACAAATTGAATAGTAGGTTCTTATCATTTTGTATATTTGTTGGCATGTATCACAAAGTTTTAAATTGTAATGCTCTAATCCATTTTGTAAACATATTGTATTGCATATATGTAAATTATTAAGTCTTTATTTCTAATTTGAGTTTAAATTTTCATTATTAACTTTGAGTTAAGGATTTCACCACTTTAATACAAATAAAAGTTTAAATTTTTAACCACTTTTCAAGAGTCAAAGATTTGAAAAGTCAATACGACACATATGATTCGTATCCGGGTCGGATACGGGTTGGGGTGTTACATGATCTCTGGTTATCGTATTTCTGTATCTGATTCTGAAAAAATGGTATGTTTTAATGTTTTATTAAATTGAATTATTGTTTTCACTCAAATTCATGCATGTTTTCTATCATAGGGGTATAATTGGAGGAAGTATCACAGGCCTAGTCTCTGACTTGTAAGATCTTACCGCAGACACCTCTGCTTTGTGCATTGGTTAAAACCTTACCGCAGGCCCATATGCTATTAGCATAAGGTCTTTACCGGCCGTACATGTGGGTGTATGGTTCAAGGGAACCTACACATTTGTTTTTATACACCGCGAAGCACAATAGGCTTTTTAGCTCATTCTTTAATTTTTAAATTTTCAAATACTATCCGATAGTAGGCTAGCAGACTTGGCATAAGGAGAACCGATATATCCTCACTTTTGTATCACTGTATATTTTTGTATGCCCTTTTTGTTATACTTTGGTGACACATGTTTTTAATAATCTCTTCACACTTCCTTATTATCGATATTTTGTTTCCGAAGCTGATATATTTGTATATATACTGCATGGACTTTTTTATGGTTATTTTAGTATTTTATTGTTATTTGTATTTTATTTTTTGAAATGGATTTTAAATGCATTTTGAATCTGAAAATGATCTCTGAATACGATAAGTGACCGTCAAGATTTGGGTCTACCGTCTAGGCCGAATCTAGGGGGTTATAACTGGGGAAGGTGAGGTCGGTGGAGCTTTATCGATGAAAAATGTCAATGGTCGTCATGAGTTTAGGAAAATTAACACCATTGATTGTCATGTTAATGTTTGTAACGTTATATACCAGGTTAAGTCAAAAAATATTTTAGGCACTTATTAAAAAAAAAAACACAGTTTGAACACTTATTTTTTTTACTAAGCCTTTTTATTTTAGTATATTCATTGGATACGCGTTTTCCAAGGTGTGAAAGAGAATTGCATCTAATGATGTTGTCGAATATTTGAAGTTGGTTACGATTATTATATTAATTAGCATAGAAGATGCGCTCATGATTCACGTTCCAAAAGTAAATATAAAATGTTATTAAATATGCTCGATTGGGATAAGATAATAGATTCTTTAAGTAAGGTAGGGGTTCGAATCCGGACGTTTGCGTATGGAGCAAATTAAGTTGGGAGGGTTGCCCCCAACTCTACAAACAACTCGATCTGAATTAATTGATAAATAAATAGAATATCAATGATTAATTTAAAAAAATATGCTCGAAATTGACTAATTTTACTATGAATCTAAGTCCATCTTATACATACAATTATTAAAAATAAATTAATATTACTTTTAAAATATTAACACCACCTTAAAAGTTAATTAAAACTTCTGCTTTAGCGGCTATATATAGCTTCTAATCCTTATATCTCTTCACCAATCTCTTCTTTCTTCAACAACCCTAATTAAACCTTCAAATTTTGCTATTATTATTCGCGTCCTTGGTTGATCTTTCTTAAGCACTCTTAGTTATGGCGGGAACCCAGAGCTGTGAATTTGTTTTCTCCGGGAAGAAGACGACGGTGGCAGCTGCAGATGGCTTTGAAGGGGATGATGTTTTCGTGGCCAAGAAACCTACGCTTCCAACAATGGCGGTGGCACCAAAAGTATGGGAAAATGACCCCGCCGCCGCATTAGCCAGCGTGCGCCATGAATTCGGCGAGCATGGTGGCGTTAACATGTCCATTGAAGCGTCTGCCACCTTCACCGTCGTGGAACCTGAGACTATACGCCGCATGTTCACCGGTGAGCTCGGCCCCGATCGTGATTTCTACATTTATAGTCGTCACTTCAACCCCACCGTCTTGAATCTCGGCCGTCAATTGGCTGCCCTGGAAGGAACCGAAGCTGCCTACTGCACTGCTAGCGGTAACTAAACTATATGTTTATGTATTTATTTAAATTATTATCGACCATTATCGTATGATTTGACCGTAATAGCACGTGTTATTACTATAATCGTAATAAACGTAATACAACTAAAATCGTGATTGTGATTGTAATTTAAATCTATGATAAAACTAGTAACTTGTGATTTTGATTTGATTCCGTGATCACAGGTATGTCCGCTATATCATCCGTGCTGTTGCAACTCTGCAGCAGCGGTGGACACGTGGTGGCGTCGGCGACTCTCTATGGCGGAACTCATGCACTTTTAACCCATTTCTTGCCCCGAACATGTAACATCACGACCACGTTCGTCGACATAACCGATCACGAAGCAGTGAAAAACGCCATCGTTCAAGGGCGGACACAAGTGTTGTTCTTCGAGTCGATCTCGAATCCAACCCTCACCGTAGCCTACATCCCGGAGCTAAGCAAGCTAGCACACGACAAAGGAATAACGGTGGTCGTGGACAACACATTCTCTCCCATGGTTCTTTCCCCTGCTAAGCTCGGTGCCGACGTGGTCGTCCATAGTATCTCCAAGTTCATCAGCGGAGGCGCTGATGTAATCGCGGGCGCCGTATGTGGTCCTGCGAGTCTAGTGAACTCCATGATGGATCTTCATCAAGGTGCTTTGATGCTTTTAGGCCCGACCATGAACGCCAAGGTTGCATTCGAACTCTCCGAGAGGATTCCTCACTTAAGCCTACGAATGAAAGAGCACAGCCGTAGAGCCATGGAATACGCTACAAGAATGAAGAAACTGGGCATCAAGGTCATCTACCCTGGCCTCGAGGACCACCCTCAACACAACCTATTGAAGACCATGGCCAATAAGGACTATGGGTTCGGTGGTCTTCTCTGTGTGGACATGGAATCCGAAGAAAAAGCTAACAGGCTCATGCATCACTTGCAGAACAGCTCTCAGTTCGGGCTCATAGCTGTTAGCTTGGGCTACTATGAGACACTCATGTCTTGCTCCGGTAGCAGCACCAGCAGCGAATTGAATGCCGACGAGAAGGCCCTCGCCGGTATCTCACCGGGGCTGGTGAGGATGTCGATCGGATATACAGGCACGTTGGAGCAGAAGTGGAGCCAATTCGAAAAGGCCATCACTAGGATGAGGGAAGCTGCATCCACCATGTCAAAATAAATTTGAAGTTGTTTCGTCGTCAATACTTATATTATATGATTAGTACTTTATACTTAATCTTGTGTGAGATAGTTGGGGTTTATTTTATGAACGTTAATTTGATTAACTTTAGTTTTTATATATTTTTTAAAATTTTAATTTTTATTTAAATAGTATAATAATTAAATTAAAATATAAATTTGCGAGAAATTAATTAAATCTACAATTAACATATAACAAAAGTTAATAATATAATTTAACAGATTTTATACTTACATTTTGGATCAAAATCAAAATTTCCCAATCTGATAAATATAAAAAGAAAATTATCAAATTAAATTACATAAACAAAATACGGAATTAATATGGAGTACAAGTAGAGAACAACGTTCTATCGAGTGAAACCTAGTAAAAAAATATGATTATTATTTTATATAGGATAATTCTTTCACGCTCGACGAGCGACGATAAGCACAATTAACGATGAGTATCATTAATTTAATTTATAAAAGTTTAAAATTATAAAAAAACTCGATATATAATTATTAATTAGTTAAAAATTTAAAGGTAAATTATTTAAAATAAAGGGTAAACTATACAAGTGACCATCTAATTGTTTCTCCTTTTCTTTTTGACCACTACTTTTGAATTTTTTTCAATCAGGTCATTCAACTATTTAAATGTATTCAATTAAGCCACTTGCCATTAATATTTAACGGAGAAGTTGACATGGTAATTAAAATATTTGGTATAATTACATATTTGATCAATGTTAATTATATATCCTATCAATTTAGTCCTAATTTTTAATAAATTAAAATAAATTTAACCCTCAAAATTAGTAATAGCAACAAAAATTGTAAAAGTCATCATTTGTGGGGTAAAAGGAATCGACATTGGATCTTGAGAAATTGATTTGAAAATAGGTTTTTTGAACAATAATTGCAAAAGCCATCTTTTGGTGGGTAAAAGGAATCGACATTGGAATTGTTGATGACTTTGATAGAATAAAACGAAGAAAACAATTTAAATATTTTTAAAATGTAAAAGAAATAAATAAAAGTAAAATCCTAACCAAAAATATATTTTGGTTACAGAATAAAAAATAATTTTAAATATTAAAATGAAAAGAAAAGTATCACCGACAGTGACTAATCTTGCGTATAATTTGATATTATTTTATTAAAAAGAACAAGTGAAATGAATAAATTGCACATTGAAATCTTTTTTTGTTTAATGCACATATAAATCAAAACAAACTTTAGATATAATTAATTTAAGTATTAATTAATTATTGAATTTATATTATGTTGGAGTCCTAAGTTAAAGTCGAAGGGTTAAGTTTATTATAATTTATTAAAATTAAGATAAATTGATAGAATATATAAGTAGCAGTGACCAAATGTGTAATTATAACAAATATTTTAATTGTCACATCAGCTTCTTTGTTAAATATTAACGGAAAGTGTCTTAATTGAATGCATTTAAATAGTTGAATGATCTGATTGATAAAATTTCAAAAGTAGTGGTCAAAATAAAAAGGGCAATAGTTTGGTAATCACTGTTATAGTTTACCCTTTATTTTAAATAATTTACCTTTAATTTTTAACTAATTTATAATTATACGTTAAGCCCTTTAAAATTTTAGATTTTATAAATTAAACTAATGGTGCTCATCGTTAGTGGTGTTTATCGATGCTCGTCGAGCGTAGTAGAATTTTCCTTTAATTATATTTAAAAGTTTTCATTTTTAATTTAAATGTAAATATGCATAATTTGTCACTGTCATATAATAATTTATAAAAATATTTTTTTCAATGATGATATATCAAATAATAGTTTTATAATAATATATGCTAGGAAAATTAAATTCATATGTTATTAAAATAAAAATATTACTTTTATCGATATATATTTATTAGTTTTTAAAAATGAAAGGTAAAAAAGGCACGCGTGATCCCTAAACTTTAAAAAAAATGGTAACCCTCATTCTATATTTTTAGATCAATGAGACCCTCCAACTCGAAAAAAGAATCCAATGTGGCCTTTTGACTAACGTTTTTTGTCGTTTACCAACGATTCCGTTAATTCCTGCAGACGTGGCACGCCAATGTGATATTCATCCTATTTTTCTCTCAATGCGGCCCTCCAACTCAAAAAATAACTCAATGCTACCATTTGATCATCTGTTTAATGTTGTTATAAATGGGAAAATTACACCATTCATCACTCAACTATCTTTTTTTCATTTTAGTCTCTAAACATTAAAAGTTTTCTATTTAATCAATCAACTTTTGAATTATTCATGTTTCAGTTATCATGACTTATTTTATTAATATTTATGTATGATGTGGCTTTTATTATTCTTATTTTATTGAATCGTTAGTTCTTTTTTTTTCTATTTCAACATTAGATCTACATCTATCGGAGTCCTTTTTAAGGAAACCAAGTTTATATTTGAGTTTGGGGTTAATAAAAGAATCGAAAAAGGCGTTGATCAGCGGCGGTCAACACGGCGGAGTTTGATTGTGAATTGGGTTTTCCCAAGAATGATCAAGAACAAGATGAACTTTTCATAGAAAATTCAAACCCAATTTGATTCAAAATTTCTATGGTAATTAATTTAATCACAATGTTGAAATTTTAAATTAATTAATATTATTTAAATCATATATTAATAAAATAATAATAATAAATGTCACATCATACATAAATAATAATTAAATAAGTTATGGTGATTAAAATATGAGCAGTTTAAAAGTTTAGTGATAAATTGAAAAACTCTTAAAGTTTAGTGACCAAAATAAAAAAGAGAATATAGTTGAATGATAAATGGTGTAATTTACCCAATTTATAACAGCGTTAAATGGAGGAATTAATGAAACCGTTGGTTAATGACAAAAAACGTTAGTCAAAGGGTCACATTAAGTTATTTGTTCAAGTTAGAAGGCTAAATTGATAAAAAAAAAAATAGGACGAGTGCCACAATAATTTCTTTTTTTGAAAGTGCAGGAACCTCACGTGCCATTTTGACAAAATTAACCTAGTATACCATCTTTTGGTGCACTAGTTCTCTAGCTACCAATACAAGTGGTAGGGGTGAGCAAAACTCGACTCGACTCAAAATGACTTCGAGTTGTAATTTCAAAAACTCTACTCGACTCGAAAAAAAATTCAAGTTCAAATCGGGTTGTAAAATACAACTCGAATAACTCAATTTTTAGTATTTAGTTGATGAATTTTCAAGTTTCAGTCGAGTCCCTCAATTCTGTACGATATATGTATATCACATAAGAAAGAAATATATATGTATTGTATTCAAAAATCACACAGGAAAATTGATATCTAAAGAAATATATATATGTATGTATTGTATATGATCATAAAGAACAATTTAAATTGAAATCAAATAATATCATAATATTATAAATATTGATAATGAAATTTAAACACAAACTCAAAAATTCGAATCGACTCAAATTTTATAAACTCTACTCGACTTGAAAAATTTCAAGTCAACTCCGAGTTGTAAAATAGGACTCGTAAACTTGAATAACTCGAAAATTTTTTATTTGACTCGATCAAACGCTCACCCCTAAAGAGTGACAGTCAGCTGCAACTACTGGCGAAAATTTATTTTGAGGAAATTCTATGATTAGATTATAAAAGAAAAGAGAGAATTCTTAAAGAAAGTAGTCAATTTCTGTTTTTATCATACATATTGACTTATATATTAAATCTTAGTATTTGTTTCACTTTAAAATGATGATAGTATAGGATGAGTAAATGTGACCGTTAGATGTTAAATTACAGATTATGTTAAAAATTTTGAGGAACTTTAGAGGATTTAGATATGGGGTCGGAAGTTGCTCACAGCCTGGAGTTGAGGGCAGCCTACTACCCTACCTCCCTCTTATCCCATTACATATAGGAATAGGGTCAGCTAATTTTAATTTAGAGGATTTAGAACTCCAGAGATCATTGTTTTGAAAATCGGACCGGACCGGCCGGTTCAATCGGGAACCGTTGTCTAGTCCGGTTCAATCTAGACCAGTTGAACCGCTACTAGTGAACCGGCCAGAACCGTTGAACCGTTCAAACCGGACCGGCTGAAAACCAGAAAAAACCGACAATTTTGTTTTTTTTTTAAAAAAAATTAAATCAAACGACGTCGTTTGTTAAACGAGCCAAGTCGAACTCTAGTATTGCTGAGCTCGACTCGAACTTGAAAAATTTAAAAGTAAGCTCAACTCGATTCAAACTCACGAGCTAAAAATTATGAAGTTTAACTCGAACTCGAAATATAATATTGAAACTTGAACTCGAAAAGGTTTGAACTCAAAAAAAATTTAGAAGCTCGATTGAAGCCTAAAATTCGAGCTTGATTGAAGTGAAAGAATAGTTCACTCAATGCTTACCAAAAGGCTCCATGATTTTGAATGCTAAATTACCTCTATTATTTATAGAAGTTAATTGGGATGATCTTCTATGTTTCTTAATCATGTGGGATTATTTTTAAAAAAAATAAACCAAACAATATCATTTTGTTATGATTTTTTTAGCCTCAAATTTATTTTTTAATTATAGTTATATAATTATATTTATTATTTAATATGCTTTACCTTAAATATTATGTTGTAGTTAATTTGAATCATTTTGTTTCACTTGATTTTATGGTTTTTAATTTATATATGTTATGACTTGCTTTGAATATGACTTGTGATATAAAAAAATATTTTTTATTAAATATTTTTGGTATTTTTATTTAATTTTTTAAATAATTATGACGTCGTCCGATTATTCTGACCGATCAAACCGATTCGATCGATTGAACCAGTAAACCGATAATATGACCGATTCGCTAACCGATCCGATTATAAAAAACCATGCCAGAGATTTAAAAAAAAATCAAAAACCTCGACGTTCGATAAACAAAAGAATATTAATGGATATGTGATTGGAGATCCGGAAAAAGTGAAACATACGTTAAAAAATTATAAAATATCAATATTAAAAAATGGTTGCATGATAGAAGAATAC